TGCTGTTCAGTCTTATCTTTAAATGTGAGCAAAATCACATGTTTTGTAATCATTTTAGACATTACGCTAGAGAATCATTCAAACACTTGCTCTAAAGTGACGTTGGTGAAGTACCAATGGTTTCTTTAGTTTTGACATCAGCTGCAGATGTGAATATATGGCGGAAGAAAGGAGTTCCTCATACTACAGACGATTTTTCGAGACTCTCCGTGTTTGATTTTGTTTTATATACAAAATTATGCAGACATCCCAAGTTAAAAATAGTCATTCCCGGGCGAGAGTGTCAAGATTTGCGAGAGAAGAGCGAAGAGCGATCTGGTGGGGAGGGGTGAGAAGGGTGCGCGACTTATTCGAGTAACGGGAGGGAGACGCGCGATTTCCAGGAGATTATCACTTATTTGTGCCATCCGGGAGTCTCCATGTATTTGCGGGAGACTCCCGGAACTTCCTGGAGACTTGGGATGTCTGGATTATGCTGTCAAACTGTTGTATGAACACAATAATAATCTCGCAGCAGTGTAATTTGGCTGTATATCAACACTGGAGGGACACTAAAGGCTGATTTATACTTCTGCATCAAACGCACGCGTATGCTACGGCGCTGACGCATAGCCCTACGCCGTGGCCATCGCTGACGTGCACCTCTCAAAAAATTTAACTACACGTTGCAATGACGCATAGCGCATTCTCTGTGATTGGACGGCTTGGTATCGCTGACGAGTCTGGGCAGGACTGAGAGCCGCGCGAATGGCGCAACCCCGATGGAGCATTTGTTTACAAGTGTGGAGTCCCGTGAAGGAGCTCATGATGGAAAGTTTTGTTTTGTGTTTTGTGTGCACAGCTACACGCATTGCATGCGCCCCGGGTTACGCCGATCCACTTGACGCAGAAGTATAAACCAGGCTTAAGGCACTCAGTCCAATAGTATCTGGATGCAGCCTTTATGATGCAAGCTGAGACTGCATCACTCAGCGATGCAATGTCAGACACAATGCACTCAAATGGAGCTAGTGACGTCACTGTGACGGGTAGGGTTAGGTGAGCCCATTAAAAAGCATTGGATGCAGCCCAGATTGCACTGCACCAGGTCTGAAGCCAGACCCATCTCACTCAGTCTGCAGCCTCGAGCCAACACACTCCTCCCACCAGTGTTAATATACAGCTGTATCGCACTGCTACTCATGTTATATTGCTCATTTACATGTAAACAATCATTACACTAAAAAAGGATTAGTTGGATTTACTCAATTGTTTGAAGGTAAGAGGTTGCAAACCATTTATATGGGCTGAATTTAAACATAAATAAAATGTAACGTTCAACTTGATTTGTTTGTTTACATTCTATAAATAGCTTGCAACCACCTACCTTAGAAAAGTTTGTAAATCCAATGAATTTTTTTTTCAGTGTATTAGCCTGTCCTATCTGAACAAAAAGTATATAAAAAAGTAACTTAACACACATAATTTCCCATTAAAAGTAACTAAACACCAAATTTAGTTGCTTTTTTTTTAAAATGAAGCAACACAAGATCAAAATATATTACTTTCCCAAACGCTTATCAAGCAAAAAGAACGTCAATTTCTCAGTCTGTGACCCCTTGAAAGCAAAGGTGTACCTAATAAAGTGTCCAGTGATCGTGTGCACATTCTGCTCTCTAGTACCAGCTATTACATTACATAAACAGAGATGTTTAAATAAGTCGCCCGTATTAGCTGCACAAGAATCTCTGTCTGGTCTCCAGAGGATGAGATGTCCTGACGTGCACCTGCTCCTGCACTTGTTCATAATGTCCCAGTACGTCTGGCTACAGTACGAGCTCAGTCAATGCCGGAGCACATCAAAGCATTCCAGCTTACTTCATCCGAAAGACACACAGACAAATATGCAAATCGAAGACCTCCAGCACTCAACATGACCCTTTCTCTTGCGTCATCAGCAAATTAGACAAGTCCAAGCTTCTGAATACACTGATATTAATACACTTACATACACACACACCTGTCTCCCTCAATAAATCGCTCATCATCAGTTGCAGTGTGTTTTTTACGGTAAACATTCATGGGCAGAATTTCACACCTGCTTTTGTCAGCGTGTGATTGATTGGTCGAGGTCAAAGGAGTTTGGGAAATGAAACATTAACAGGAAACGGGCTTTCAGCAGGTTAATCATAAATACAATGAATAGTGATGATCAATCTGGAGTTATTTCAGTCTCTGAATGTGTGCAAGCAGAGAAGAAATGTTGATAATGTCTGTCTAGGAAAGAAATGCATGTTAAGCGAGTCACAGCTAGTATTTAGCCCTACAAGAGATGAGTTGAAGACTACGAATTATTATAAAAACAATTATTTTTTTCATAAAACTGTAAAATAAAGTTCTTAAATAAACATATTTATATATTCTTAAATGATGTTAAACAAAGCAATGACATTTCTAAATATTTCCGATTATATTTTTCATTTAGAGCAGGGCTACTAAACTTTTTAGCCCGCGACCCAAACACATAACAATAAGCCTATATACTATAAACACAAGCACATTGATAACTCAAAAAAATCAACAGTCTAACAACCATATCATTTTTTTTTAGCTTTATTATAATTTAATTTTAACCTCACCTAAAGAGACTGGTAGTCACAAATTTAGGTTACATCACAAGTCTTAGTTTAATTTTGGAGACTGCCACTCGGAGATCATCCTCCACGTTCGTGGCCTGTATTTATTTTAAATGTACATGAGAGCCATCAAGGTGTTAGAAAGCTGTTGCCGTAAAATCAATCTCCTGCAACTGACCCGGTGTCATTAATCCAACGTAAAAACACCTGGGGAAAATTTCAATGGTTGTATTTTTAATATAACTATTTTTTATTTTCTGTAGGTTATAGATTAACATTGGTCATATTAATAGTTTTTTTTCTAATTTATTACATTTTTGGAAATCATCAAGCGACCCCCTCTCATTGTCCCATGAGCCCCACTTTGAGAACTGATGATCTGGAGAAAGTATTATTTATTTTAGTTTGAATAAAAAAATAAAAATTATATATATATAAAAATCTACATTTTTAAAAAAAAAAAAAGGAAAAACTGCAACCATCAATATACAGTGTAAAGTGCAAAGTACAGTGCATCTGGAAAGTATTCATAGCGCTTCACTTTTTCCACATTTTTTTTCATGTTACAGCCTTATTCCAAAATAGATTAAATAAATTTCCTCAACATTATACACACAATACCCCTTATTGACAATGTGAAAAAAGTTTTCTGAAGGTTTTCATCTGAAGGACTCTTAGACCATAAGAAACAAAATTCTCTCGTCTAATGAGACTTAAATTGAATTGGAGTGAATGCCAGGCGTTACGTTTGGAGAAAACCAGGCAGCACTCATCACCAAGCTAATACAATCCCTACAGTGAGGTGTGGTGGTGGCAGCATCATGCTGTGGGGATGTGTTTCAGCAGCGGGAACTGGAAGACTAGTCAGGACAGAGGGAAAGATGAATGCAGCAATGTACAGACCCATCCTGAATGGAAACCTGCTTTAGAGTGCTCTCGACCTCAGACTGGGGCGACGGTTCATCTTTCAGCAGGACAATGACCCAAAGCACACCGCCAAAATATCAATAGAGTGGCTTCACAACAACTCAATGAATGTCCTGGAGTGGGCCTAGCCAGGGCCCAGACATAAATCCTATTGAACATCTCTGGAGAGATCTGAAAATGGCTGTACACTATCACCTGTTAGAGCTTGAGAGGTTCTGCAAAGAGGAATAGGCAAACATTCCCAAAGACAGGTGTGCCAAGCTTGTGGCATCATATTCAAGAAGACTTGAGGCTGTAAGTGCTGCCAAAGGAGCATCAACAAAGTATTGAGCAAAGGCTGTGAATACTGATGTACATGTGATCTTTCAGCTTTTTTATTTTTTAATAAATTTTCAACAATTTCAAAAGCTCTTTTGTGACATTGTCATTATGGGGGATTGTGTGGAGCATTTCGCGGAAATAAATGAGTTTAACCCATTTTGGAATAAGACTGTAACATAAAACAATGTGGAAAAAGTGAAGCGCTATCAATACTTTCCGGATGCACTGTAAGTGGTTTAATTTTTACAAAAAAAAAAATGTCTGTTTGATTAAAAAGTAATTTATTGAATCGGAAAACAACTTTATTCGTAATCTTAAATAAAGCATTTTACTTAAACTTTGTTGGGCTGTTATTAACCCAAATGTTGGGTCAAATAAGGACAAACCCAATGTTGGGATAATATAAAATAAGCATATCTGAAATAAAACAAAAGCGTTTTTAACTGACGACTGAAACAAATGTGGACCTCAGCACCAACACCAGGCCAATTGTCAAGCTTGATTGTAATGCAAGAGTATTTCCGGAAGTGAAGGGCGTCTGAATGTTTGTCAGTAAGAGGCAGCAGCTGAGAAGGCTTGACGCCAGTGGATTTAATTACATTATATAACACGTGTACGAAGCTTTTAGAGAGTCATTTAATACTCATAAAGGTTATAACTCAAGTTGCAGTGACGCGTTCGCTTTTACAACACGCAATCTCCGTTAGCAGGTAATCAGGACAATGATTATTGTTGTAGTCTGTCAAAAATAACAATGCTAGGAGTTACGACTGAAAGAAAACCTTACATAATTTCTCCAATACCTCAATACACATTCATCTATCCACACACACACACACACACACACACCAAAAAAAAGAGATTCTCTTCTCTCTGTATCCATGGAGACAGTCAGTTCAGCATGGCTCTTGCAGGACAAAAATAGCAGAGGGAATAATTATCGAACAAACACACTTGAATTCATGTGTGGTGACACTCAGACTCGCAGCCCAGCCTATTAATCTGAACTCAATCTGCTCAGCTGTTGGATTTGGCTCTGGATGAAGGCGAAACAATGCGGAGAGTCGCTGACAATAAGCAAAACTGCAAAAACTACAGCCTCAAAACCATGACCGAAAAAACAAACTAAAACCTCGGTCGTTAATATCAGACAGATTTTAATCACATGAAAACAACAGAAACAAAAAGGAATTATTTTAGTGACAAATCCATACTCTATAACTGCTCCTTTTCCCCGAGGCGATGATTGTAGACCGAACAGAAGGAGGTATAATTGTACAACGAGGGTTACAGTAGGACACAACCGCCGCAATTCTCCCAGCATTTAAATGATCATCATCAGGTAAGAAATCAACAGCTCTAGCATTAGATTACATGTCAGTATTCATTACAAAAATAAGATATACGCAGCGGCAGGCAGCCAGCAGCTTCACTTTGGGCTAAAGAGAGAGACAGAAACAGATAGAGAGCAAACAAAGATCAGATCTTCCCTCCACAAGCACACCTGCAATATAAACCTTCAGCTTGAAAGTGCACTCATATTAGGGCGGAGCTTATTACAAACCCCGCCCATTTACACAAAGGGCAAGTGTTCTAATCTCCACCCACCCATTACAAAAAGCAGAGCTTGAATTCTAACCCCACCCTCCTATACAAGGGCTGTGGTTTATGTTCCAAACTCCGCCCTCCCATACAAGAGGCAGAGCTTGTATTCTGAAACCCACCCTGATTTACAAGGGGTGTGGCTTATGTTCTAAACTACACCACCCGATACAAGAGGTGTGGTTTGTTCTAAACCCGGCCCTCATACAAGAGGCTGAACTTTTAAACCCCGTCTTCCAATTAAAGAGGTGTGGTTTGTTCTAAACCCCGCCCTTCCATACAAGAGGCAGAGCTTGTATTCTAATCTCCACCCTCCTTTAAAAGAGGTGTGGTTTGTTCTAAACCCCGCCCTTACATACAAGAGGCAGACCTTATATTCTAATCTCCCCCATCCTATAAAAGAGGTGTGGTTTGTTATAAGTCTAAACCCCGCCCTTACATACAAGAGGCGGAGCTTGTATTCTAAACTCTGCCCTTCTATAAAAGAGGTGTGGTATATGTTCTAAACCTCGACCTCCCAAACAAGAGGCAGAATTGGCATTCTAAACTCCGCCCTCCTATACAAGGGGTGTGGTTTATGTTATAAACCCCTCCTTCTTATACAATAGGCAGAGTTCGTATTCTAAACCCCGCCTTTCTATACAAGGGGTGTGATTTATTGTCTAAACCCGCCCCCAAACAAGAGGCAGAGCTAGCATTCTAAACTCCGCCCTCCTATACAAGGGGTGTGGTTTAAGATCTAAACCCCACCCTCCCATAGAAGACGCAGTGCTTGCATTCTAAACTGCCCTCCTATTTAAAGGGTGTGGCTTACATTCTAAACTCCGCCCTACTGTATAAAAGGTGTGGCTTGTGTCTTAAACCCCGCCCAGATCCAATGGGATGTTAAGTAGAGATCGAGTGCGTGTGAGTGCAGGAGTGTTAATAGATAAGTGCAGTAAGAAGAGTGCTAGTTTACAGGAATGAGTGTGGCTGTAGTCGCGGAGGTTGTTGCTCTACTGTTGGGGGTAATAGGGCTGTTGTTGGGGTGGTTGTTGAGGGTAGGGGTAGGGTTGCTGTGTTGCAGGGGCTCCAGGGTATCCAGCCTGGCCCTGAGCTTGATAGGGCATGTAGGGCATATTATACTGCCCGTATGCATAGGGATTATAGGCCATTGGCATCTGGTAATACCTAAAAGAGAGGAGAAAAAGAGAAATATACAAAAGTCATGCTTCTGTAATATGCAGAGTGTTGTAAAACCTAGTGAGCTTTCTGCTGCTGAAAAATTTGATTAAGTAGTAATTATTAAGGCCCAATCCCAGTTCTATTTTTGTACCCCTTCCTCTTGCCTTTGGCCCTTGAAAAAGAGTGTGAAGGGGAAGAGCTTTAAAATTTACCCCTAAGAAATTGGGACATCACTACAGCACCTGCACAGGCCATCATATGTCATCGTGAGCTCTTGCCTCATATGAGATCAGATGATCGATCGCGCCTGCTGTACTTATTACAGTTGTGTTATTTTTTGTCATTTATCTTCAGGAAATCACTGAAGGCCTATATTATGCTATTATAACAATATAATTTGGCAATAAGATCGTAACTGTACTGTGTATTTACACCCTGGCCATATTATCTATGTAAACACACAAAAACATTATTAACATTATGCCAGACACTGTAAAAAGCTCATTTCCACCCACTAGACATGTTTTGGATGTCTCCTTTGTCTGTCACACCCATTACAGGTCTTTCAGTCTCTGCTAATGAGCTGATGATCTGAATCTGGTGTGTATGCTTAAAGAGACATGGAAAATGTGCAGAGCTGGTGGTCCTTCAGGAACATGGTTGAGAAACGCTAGTTTAAAGCATAGACTATAACACCCATCGAGTTGAAAACTTATTTGCCTTGCCTTATAAGTCTTGTTTTATTTCGGCTAGAATAAAAGCAGTTTTTAAACCACTTTAAGGTTAATATTATTGGCTCTCTTAAGCAATGTTTTCTTTCAATTGTCTACAGAACAAACCACTGTTATACAATGACTTGCCTCATTACCATAATTTGCCTAATTAACCCAATTAATTTAAATAGAAATTGGAGAAAAAAAAACATTCAAAGGGGCTAATAATTCAGAAGGGCTAATAATTTTGACTTCAACTGTACCTAACACTGAGGACACATGCACTCTTGAATGTCTTTATTTACCCTGGGTAGCCTTGATAACTGGGGTATGGTGGCCCTTGAGCCTGTGAGGGTCCAGTGGGTGCAACAGGTGGAGGATTAGAGCTGCCGGGAGCCATTGGGGCGCTGACTGGAACGGCAGCACTGGCTGCCTGAGGAGCGATGCTGGGGGGTGGGGGTCTCGCCGGCGGCTGGGGCTTAGCCTGAGGCTGCTGCTGTGACTGGAAAACAGATATACATCAGACTATTGCATGCGATCAAGTGTTATATCTGTCATCAGTGCGTGTGAACTCACAAACACAGTCCTGGGCGCAGGGGTCGGGCCTCCTGCAGGGGCAGGGGTGTTGGACTGGTATGACGGGACGCTGAATGAAGGAGCGCTTGGCTCTCGAGCAATACTCTGCTGCAGCTCCCTGTAAAATGAGACAATTATCAGCCAATCATTTGCCTGGTGAGAAATGAGGATTTTGAAGCCATTATGATTTGTTATTCTGTGGACACCAGGAGTGTTTAATGTTTTTTTGTAAAACATTTAATATTTCCTGAGTGTATATTTGTGCTGGTTTAATGATAATAATACTACATTTGATTTATAAAGCGCTTTAAGTACAATCTTAAAGGGTCAAGCTCTGTCATGGATAAATACATATGACACTAAATTCACCAGTAGGTGGCGACAAATTCAATTCAAGTTTATTTCTATAGCGCTTTTACAATGGAGATTGTGTCAAAGCAGCTTAACATAGAAGTTCTAGTAAATTGAAACTGTGTCAGTCCAGTTTTCATAGTTGAAGATCAGTTTAGTGTGGTTTAGTTTTCACTGCTGAAAGTCCAAACACTGAGGAACAAATCTATCGATGTACAGCTTCACCAGTCCCAAACCAAGCAAGCCAGTGGAGACAGTAGCGAGGAACAAAACTTCACCAATCGACGAAGTGAATCCTTGATTTAATGAGTGATTCACTGAACTGTTCATTCAAAACAGCTGATTAATTAAGAAATTAAGCAAAAGGTTGTCTTACAGACTGTTGGTTCTTTCCAAACAAGATATATTGCCCTTCAAGGGGCACTTTGAAGTGAAAAAATCATGGCAGCCATATTAAAGTGTCATTCCAAACCAAAGCGATTAAAACTGGCCACTTCGAAGGGTCCCTTTGAAATGAAAGAGTTTGAAAAATGCAACTGATGGACACTACTGGAAATTATCCTTGAATAATCTCATCCCTATCTCTAATCCCTTCAGAGGGATCTCCGAAGATTAGGGTATAAAGATGAGCCCTTCAGATTGAAATCCACCTTGAATGAATGAATCGCTGACTCATGATTCTTTTAAAAAAAATGAAAGCTCCTACTTAGTTTACAACTATTTTATTAGTCAAACATATAAAGAGACAATATTTTATTGAAAATGTGATGAACTCATTAACCTTTATTTGTTAAACCATGGGTCTCATACTCAATTCCTTGAGGGCCGCAGCTCTGCACAGTTTTGCTCTGACCCTAATCAACCACAGCTGATGCAGCTAATCAAGGTGTTCAAGACTACTAGAGTCTATTAAGCAGGTGTGAGTTGGAGGTGCTTGGAGCTAAACTATGCAGAGCTGCGGCCCCCCAGGAATTGAGTTTGAGACCACGGTTTTTATCTGTTGTATAAATGTGTATATAAAATGTGCTTATCTTCTGAATAAAGCTGCACTTGTTTCTGTAATATATCTTAACTATATCGTACTTTATCTTTTGAATATAAAAATGTAAACCCCTAAAATGTTTTTTTTTTTTGCTTCCATAACTTAAAATATATACTCAGTATAAGTAGATTATATAAAGCCTACATGCTTAAAGGCTGCAACACACAGTCACTGATGTGTGTTTGTTTATTTGAGTGACATTCTCACCATTGTCAGCTCAAACACTGCTAAAACCTCAATTATTATAGACAATAAATATTGCACACCCCTAATCCACTCTACTGAAGTACATACTTGAGCAGTTCATCTCTCTCAGTTTTGCGAGCGAAGACAATGTCGCTGCACTTATTTTGAAACTTCAGCAGGATTTCTGTCAGATCATTGTAGAACTGAAAGAAGAAGAAGAGAAGTGAGAATAAGACAGCTTTATGGAGGACACACGTGTGCAGAACTAATATTAGTGGATGTGCTGGTTACTTTAGTGCCTTCTTTGATATTGGAGCTGATCTCGATGTAGCTGTCGTGGGCGGAGGCCAGTTTCTTCAACACGTCCTCCCTGGTATTAGCCTCAGAGTTGGACTGCTTTAGTGCTGAAAACTCCTGGTGAGAAACCTGAGATGAGAAAGAAAGCACGATAGTTACTTACAGTGTTGGGTATTATTTGTGCCAAACCGATACTTTAAAAATGTTACAGAGGTGCCTAAACGGTGCTGAACCAACACTTTTAAAAAGACCCTCAAATCAAAAAAATTATTTAAATTCAATGCTATCTTTCAACTTCACAGCAGATGGCGCTGTAGGCTAGTTTTTTTTAATAGTGGACAGTGCTCTAGGCTAGTTATTGAACAGCGGCTGGTACGCTAGGCTAGTTTTTAAACAGCAGATGGAGCTCTAGGCTAGTTTTTTTTTTAAATAGTGGACAGTGCTCTAGGCTAGTTATTGAACAGCGGCTGGTACGCTAGGCTACTTTTTAAACAGCAGATGGCGCTCTAGGCTAGTTTTTCTACAGCGGATGGCGCTCTAGTCTAGTTTTTAAACCATGGACGGCTCTCTAGGCTAGTTTTTTTTAATAGTGGACAGTGCTCTAGGCTAGTTATTGAACAGCGGCTGGTACTCTAGGCTAGTTTTTAAACAGTAGATGGCGCTCTAGGCTAGTTTTTCTACAGCGGACGGCGCTCTAGTCTAGTTTTTAAACCATGGACGGCTCTCTAGGCTAGTTTTTAGACAAAAAACGGTGCTCTAGGCAAGTTTTTTTAATAGTGGATTGTGCTCTAGGCTTGTCTTTTTAACAGCAGACGGGGCTCTAGGCTAGTTTTAAACAGCAGCAGTGCTCTAGGCTAGTTTTTAAGCAGAAAACGGCACTCTAGGTTAGTTTTTAAACAGCAGATAGTGCTCTAGGCTAGTTTTTAAACAGTGGGAGGCACTCTAGGCTAGTTTTGAAACAGTGGACGTTGCTCTAGGCTAGTGTTTAAACAGAAGACAGCAATCTAGGCTAGATTTTAACACCGGAAAGCACTCCAGGCTATTTTTTTTAACACCAGAGAGTGCTCTACGCTATTTTTTTTGCAGCTGACAGCGCTTTAAGCTGGGTTTTTTTAAACAGCGAACAACGGTCCACTAGTTTTTAAACAGTGGACAGCGCTCTAGGCTAGTTTTTAAACAACAGACAGCACTTTAGGGTATTTTTTTTTAATAGCAGACGACGCTCTAGGCTAGTTTTTAACAGCAGATGGCGCTCTAGGCTATTTTTTTAATAGCGGACGACGCTCTAGGGTAGTTTTTAACAGCAGATGGTGCTCTAGGCTAGTTTTTTTATAGCGAACGACACTCTAGGCTAGTTTTTAACAGCAGATGGTGCTCTAGGCTAGTTTTTTTTAATAGCGGAAGACGCTCTAGGCTAGTTTTTTAATAGCAGATGGCGCTCTAGGCTAGTTTTTAAGCAGCAGACAGAACTCTAGGCCGGTTTATAACAGCAGATGGTGCTCAAGGATAGTTTTTAAACAGCGGATGGCGTTCTAGGCTAGATTTTAACAGCAAATGGCGTTCTAGGCTGGTTTATAACAGCAGATGGTGCTCAAGGGTAGTTTTTAAACAGCAGAAGGGGTTCTGGGCTAGTTTTTACCAGCAGAGATTATATTAATGTAAACATAACTCACTGTGAACACTCTTGTAATTTGCGTAAACCTTTTTTTAGTTAACTAATAATGATTATTTCAGGTTCAATGCAAGCAGAATATTTGTAATGTATAAAGTAACCTCGGAATCTATTTAAGAGATTTATTACGCTATTTATAATCTATTTATTACGCACCTGTATCTGTGACAGCAGCTCTTCCTGTCTGCGTAAGTTCTGTTGAACGCGTTGATTGTGTGAGCCGTATCGAGCGTCAAGCTCACTGCTGGTCATGACCTCCTCATTGATGGCGCCATCTTGAGCCAGTGCTGTAAGAAACTTTGCCGTCAGGTCAAAGGTCACTGACTTCACCTCTCCTTCCAGAACTTCTCGTTCCCTCTTGACCTCATCCAGTTGCGCCAGCTGAGACCTCAACACATTTACCACCTGTGCAGGAGATGAGACTTGGCATTAGTATAACAGCTTGGTTAGTGTGTGTTTTTTGGTGTTATATACCATTTAGGCATTTTTAATATTAACACCTATTTTAATAGTATAATTGTTTATACTAGGGTTGTTCAATATATCGTTTCAGCACTGATATCGCAATGTGATCATTCGCAATAGTCACATCACACTATCTGCAATCTTCAGTCTGTATTATAACTTGTCATTTGTATGTGCTTTTGATGCCTGTGACGGTATAATGATTTTGAAAGCACTCAAGCACAAGAAATTGTACCATGACTAACTTTAAAAATGAGTAATTGCATTGAATGAATGACTGTATCTAAATATTTGAATCACTTTCAACAGTTTTTTATGAAAATTAAACAGGTTTTTATTGAATACATTTTTAACTAATAATTAAATTGAATTAAACTAAACCAAAATTTTGCATTTACACCTCTGCATGTGGATTTGGGAAGCTTTTGAATTTGGGTAGACAAAATACAGACGGAAATCCCAATATAGCACTTGACTTTATTTGTGATTTGCCATAATGTTCATTTTATTTTAAAATAAGAAAATAAAATAAAATTATTTAGTTAATAATTATACCTAGTACAACTTTGATTTAAAATTCAGAAATTTTAAAAGAAGTTTGTCTAATATGTACAGCTGAAGTCAAAATGTTTTGCCCTCCTGTGATTTTTGTTTCTTCCCTTTTTTAAAAATACTTCCAGAATCATGTTTAACAGAGCAATGTTTTTTTTCACAGTATTTCCTATAATATTTTTTCTTCTGGAGAAAGTCCTGTTTGTTTTATTTCAGCTGGAATAAAAGCAGTTTTTTATTTTTTAAAAAGCAATTTTAAGGTCAATATTATTAGCCCTCTTAAGCTCTATATTTTTTGATTGTCTAAAGTACAAACCCTCGTTATACAAGGAATTGCCTAATTACTTTAACATGCCTAATTAACCTAGCTAAACCTTTAAATGTCACTTTAAACTGAATACTAAATACTAAAATATTATGTATAAAAGATAAAAGAAAACACTCATTAGAAACGAATTATTAAAACTATTATTTACAAAATATATGGGAAGGCTAATAATTCTAACTTCAATTGTATATATAGTATTTTAACATCACTACATGTTTTAAATCATGTTAAGCACATCGACACTGATCTCACCTCGCTGCCCTGCAGAGTCTTGGCAGGGTTGGCAGACGGTATGGCAGCACTGAGCTCATTCTCTGGCTTGCAGAGCAAAGCAATCATCTCACAATGTGCCGTGTAACGCTCTCTCACCACCTGATCGGCCTGCACCGCCTTGTCCAATATATTGCGAAAATTATTTCCCTCTGCAAGGACAAAAAAAGAGACAGACAGAGAGAAGTGAGGACAAACCATCATGAGCAAAAATGACCCTCAAGTTGGAACCAGAGAAGCATGAATCTTGAAGCAAAAGTCATGATCAGGGAACGCACAGACTCATAATGCGTTTACCTAGAAAGCACTGCAAGTCTCATTAGGTAAGAGCATCTGCTAATGCGTAAATGGGAGGCTGGAAGTGTGTTTGTACCTGCTCTGAGTGGTTTATACAGATCTCCAGAGGGAGTTCTGTTCCAGCGCTGATTGAATTTGCCTCGGAGTTCATTGTCTGTCGCTTCCTCATCATCTAACATCTTCAAGGACTGCAACATCAACACACAACAGTTTTAATCAGGAGGCAAACTGAGATACAATCCAGGTACAGTTGAAACCAGAAGTTTACAAACACTGTATAAAAAGGCACATAACCATTAAAAAAAAAAGATGTGACTTTGACTAAACTTTTTCTCTTTTAGGCAAGTTAGGATTATCATGTGTGTTTCTGTTCTGCTTAACAGCAGAATAATGAGAGAGAGATTTTGAGAAATTGTTATAACTTTTCTTGGCAAGTTTACATACAATAAGATTATTCAGCCTCTGAAAAAGCTCAGATGATGATGTCAAGGTTTTGGAAGACTTTGATTGGCTAATTGACAACATTTGAGTTAACTGGAGGCACAACTGTAGAATAGTATTTAAGGAGAACCTCAAACACACTGCTGCCTTCTGTGACAACATGGGAAAATCAACAAGCCAGAATCAACAAAAAAGCCAGATTACAATTAGCTAAATTACACTGGAAAAATAATCATTTTTGGAGACATGTCCTGTGATCTGATGGAGCTAAGAATGAACTGTTTGGCTATAATGACCAGTGTTATATTTGGAGGACAAAGGGGAAAGCTTAGGACACCATCCCAACTGTGAAGTATGGGGGCAGTAGCATTATGTTGTGGGGCTGTTTTGCTGCAGAAGGGACTGGTCCACTTCACAGCATAGACGGCATCATGAAGAAAGAACATTATGGAGAAATACTGAAGCAACATCTCAAGACATCAGCCAGGACATTAAAACTTGGCCACAAATGGGTCCTCCAAACAGACCATGACCCTAAGCATACTGCCAAAATAGTTCAAATGTGCTTTAAGGACAACAGAGTGAATGTTTTGGAGTGGCCATCACAAAGCCCTGTGCTCAATCCTATAGAAAATTTGTGGGCAGAGTTGCAATATGCTATTGCGGGCAAGGCAGCCTACAAATCTGACTGGGCCAAATATCCTTCAAACTTTTGTGAGACGCTAGTGGAAGGATACCCAAAACATTTGACCAAAGTTATACAGTTTAAAAGCAAAGCTAAAAAATACCAAGGAAATGTGTGTAAACTTTTGACTGTCTAGATATTAATCAAAAATTCTCCAGAAACATTATGTCTCATTATTCTGGCATTCAGCAAATGTAAATCATTTAGGTAATCCTAACGGACCTAAAATTGTAAACGTTTAATCTTGAGAGTTGCCACTGCATGAGAATTGCCACCAAAAACAGTTATTATTGTCTCCTGTTTGACACATAATTTTATACAAGCACAATAATTCTGCCTAAAATATACATTTTGCTCAAAAACATCTTGTTGGAATATAATGAGCCACCTAACATTTGAAAGTTTATTTAGCAAAGCAGTAACTGTAGAGTGACTAATGTAATGTATTGTAAACAAAATTGTTTAATTTAACTTGTTTTAGTTACTTAGGTTATAACGAGACAATGTAGAATGTCATGTGATCTTATAGCCTACAACAGGGGTGTCAAACTCAATTCCTGGAGGGCGGAAGCCCTGCACAGTTTAGTTCCAACCCTGCTCCAACACGCTTACCTGTAGGTTTCAAACAAGCCTGAAGGACTCAATTAGTTTGATCAGGTGTGTTTAATTAGGGTTGGAACTAAACTGTGCAGAGCTGCGGCCCTTTTGGAACTGAGTTTGACACCTGTGGCCTACAAGGTTACATTCACTATATTTGGCTTAATGTGCTTTAGTTTGAACATTGAGTTTATTTGACAACATTGGGATATTTAAAAAAAGCTCCTGCAAAAGTGGTGTGGAGCATTAAAAAAAAACACATGGGAAGAGTCTTGACAAAAACACAAGACTCTTGTTAATTCCAGGTGGAAACAGTAACGCAACTCCACTGTCTCTTGTGATCAGATTTTGAATATTTTCACTTGTTATAAGGGTAAAATTATCCAAATCTGAAGAATTTTAAAGGTTATTTTTACCCAAAATGGTCATTTAGCCACTTAAATAGTTTAAAGCCATTCAGTGTCTGTTTTTCTGTTGAATGCAAAAGAAGATATTTTGAAGAATGTTGATGATCAGTAGCTATTGACATCCATAGTAGAAAAAAAATACAACAGAGTTGATGGCTACAAGTTTCAGACAACCTTCAAAATACCTTCATTTGTGTTTGTCAACAGATGTAAGAAACTCCAGCAGATTTATGACAACAGAGTGAATAAATGATGACAGATGTTTAATTTTTGGGTCAACTCTTAGCAGTTTATAAAAGGGGATGAAACATAAAGCTCTTGACCTCATCCAGGATCTCTCGGTTCCTCTGCAGGAGCTCTGGAAGATCTTTAATCAGCTGCTCGATGCTCTGAAGGCCGCCCTGCTGGATGAGAGCACGGCTTTTCTCCAAGATGGATTGAGGAACTGCGTCTCCTGACAGATCTTCAAGAGCAGCCGGCAGGTTCAAGGATGCCAACACCCTATACGATCAATAACAACCAAATAATCACCAACAACCCAAAATATGGGTGTTTAGAAAACTTTCAGACGTACAGAAAACCCTCGTGTGCACTATTCCATCTGTGGCTGTGTTTCTATTAGAGCAGAACAATATATCGCTTGAGCACTGATATTGCAATGTGTGCAATAGCCACACCGCAGGATTAGATTATTTATCAAAGATTAAAAGATAGATATTGATATTTTGAACTATATATACACACAATAATGACTATGTTATTTAACATTTGGTTTTTCAAATTCTGTTTATATATATATATATATATACTGTTAGACACCCAAGAAAACAATTAAGCATTGTGAATTTATTACATTTTGCTTGTAATTTATTACAATTTATGCAGATGCATGGCATTAAAAAAGACTTGATCATCCCTCAGTCAGTTTAAATAATAAAATATTTGCAAATAGAGTCAAATAATCTGGTGAAGTGATGTACATATTGCAATATATATTGTGGGAAAACAAAAAATAGCAATGTCAGATTGTTCCAATATCGTTCACACTGCAAACAATTCTTACTTGGATTGTTTCTTCTTTTTTTCTAGTGCAGTTATCTAAAAATTGTTAAATCAAGAACAATTTTCTAGACAAGCAAAACATAATGTCTTGTTTTTAAAAATAATATGCCAAAATGAAGTGAGTTTTTTCTTATAACAAGCAAAAAAATCTGCCAATGGGGTAAGCAAAAGAATCTTATGTCAAAAGGAAAATGAAGATTATTTTGTTTACCCCATTGGCAGATTATTTTGCTTGCAGTGCAGCCCTAGTTTCCATCCACCAAGTTTTATGTTTTATATTGCAAACTATAAATATTTTTTAAAATGCTTACATTTTCTGGTCCTTTTGAAAATGCACATAAATAATCGTATACACACGCCACTGTGTAGAATTAACTTTTCATCTAATAGGAAAAAATGCAAATAAACTATGATGAAAGCACATTTACACAATAAGTTCAAGCAAGTGCATCAAAATTCACAAGATGTTTTTTTTAAAATTAGATAAAAATGATAAAAATAGGCGCAATGGCATGACATGTCTTTGGTACAGACATACAGTGTCATCCGAGACACTACTCGCTGCAGAGCCATTTGAGCAGAACTGAGGTCCAGCGAGGGGGAGCATGAGCTCTCGCTCCTCCTCCTATAAGCTGTTTTAATGCGTGCACCAACCCCACCCCTGACCCTACCCCCAGTGACATCACTCGTAGAAGAAGTGCAAGAAAGGAGGAGTGAGAGCTCAAGCTCCCCCTCGCTGGAGCTCAGCTCTGCCCAAATGTCATCCTGCAACTGTTTTGCAGCATATGAAATGTCCCAACCCCTATTTTTAACTGTCCAAAATGGGGGGAAAATTAGTTTTTACTCTCTAATAGTCAAAGTGTAGATAGAAATAGAAATAGAAATAAATAGAAAAGTGTTTTATGTGAATTCGGACCACGAGTCCACATGTATGGACATCATTTTTCTCTAAAAGTACATTGTATCAAAAGATGATACTTAGACTTTTATTCTAATTAGGTTCCAATAAGCCTAAATAGCAAAAAGAAATAAAAAATGCATGTAAAAAAACACCTTAGGCCTTTTTAGGAGGTTAATGCAGTGAAAATTGACTCGCGTAAGAGTAAATATATGCACAAACACTGACCCGTTGCAGAGATTGGTTGCCTCTCTCATGCTGCCGATGAGTCTGT